GGCCATTGATGGTCATTGCGCAGTGCATCATGCACATATAGTCATAGCATTGTGTATTTGGTGTACGCTTCTCATCTAAAAAGGCCAATTTGGATTCCCGTGGGCCGATCTATAGCGACATAGCGACACTATCTGAAGCATTCAGCGCCGTGTTTCTTCGCCAGAAGTGAATAAATTTGTTACATGTCTCATCTCTATTTGCAATTTAACAGTCATGATCAGTCACGTTGATAACGCTTAGCGTTGGATTCCATGATGGTGATAGTTATCTTCGAGTTGTGGACGCTCATGTTTATTCATCTTTTTCAGCTTACAAAACACGATTATTCCGTACTTCGATGCTAACTGGGAAAATTTAACATCAATGCCTAGGAGGGTGAAAAACACTTGGCACACTACATTGCAAAAAACCCTTATCAAGGATGTCGAACTTTTTAAGGTAGTTTATGATATAGATGTTGGTGGCAGTGATAATTTTCAGCTTTTAAGGTCAATCCTGAAGACGAAAATAGCTTCGCTCTCTTGGAAACAAACCTTGCCGATATCGGTCCGGTTAATGAATTCGTGAAACAGGTAATTATGTTGATTTCTATATTTTTGAGTTTCAAGCCAATGGGTCTTGAACGTCTTGGTTTCTTTTGATTCACATTTTGCGAAACCGTAAACGGTGGAGCTACGTTGTTCATTTCCCTGTACTATATCTCTTCTTTTCTTAATAGATTGGTCATCGTCGTCCGCAACCGTTCTCCAAATGTGTTCAGATTGGGAAGAAGACAAGCAGTGGTGAGAAAGGTAATCTCGCCTCAACCCTCGTCAGTGCTCAGCAAGGAGCGGGTAGGACATCCGGAGTCGACTCCGATGTGGACGGTGGTCCTAAGACCCGTGGAGCATCTAAGAGACGAAATGTTGATGGAGTAGGCGGTGGAAAGAAACCTAAACTGTGAGTTTCTAAGTGAAAATTATGGAGCCGACCTTCATCGTCATTGAATCAGCTCATTTTGGCATAGGTTTTATCATAGTATGAACTTTTGTACCGCAACAACTCGCTTATTCTTAGTTGACGTTGCACATGTTAGTAAGATCTTAGTGAACATAAACAAGCAACGAAATTCGAGCGAATTCAAGAGAACAGCAGAGGTTGTTGGGAAGTG